TGGCTACAGGTTGGGGTTAGTGGCTCCTGATCCTTCACACTCGATAATGTGGGTGACGTTGCTGCTCAGCTCGTCCTCAGATTTCGTTATCGTGAACTTTGCCTGAAAACAGAAAACAAACATTAATATTAATCACAGAGACTCCGGCGGCTCGTCACAGCTCTGAATGTTTCCGCTGTCACTCGTTTTGTGAGAGCACGGTGAAGCTAGCTGCACCTGAAGTTGGAGTGCACACGTATTAGAGCCTTTATGTAATTGAGAGGTCATGAGCAGCTGGCGGGAAGCTCAGAGACTTTATTCTGTTAGTTTCTCTTTACAAAGTCTGTGGTTCTGACCCGAAGAGAGGCTGTGAAGTCTTTTAACCCATCAAACTAAGTCAGACTCAGTTGAACTCCGTTTGAAGTCCGCTTATCAAAATAAGGTGTTAAAACAACGTTTGTACGGAATGAATTTATAAACATGTTGATTAAACGTTAAAAACACTAAATGTTAATGTTAATTAATTTAGTCTTTAATCCTGGTTTGCTGGAAAAACATTAAATGAATGTGTTGACTTTTCTTTTATATCTAAACAGCATGTTTACTAGAACACAAACGTCTTCACACTCTTCATTTCCTCTCCGAGCACCAGATTAACGCCCAGGAGTCCACACACACCTGAGTCAGCTGCTCTGCGATGTGGATGGCCGTCTGCGTGTGCAGCGTCACGGCGCCGGTTCGAATCCGAGACGTTCCCTTCGCCAACGCCATGAAGATGATGAGCTGAGGAGGAAGAGGAGGAGAGGGTCAGCGCACGGACCAATGAAGAGCTGCGAGGGTTTCACAGGCAGACTTCAGACTCGTCCTCGCTGCCGTTTCCTTCTTGCCACCTGTAGAAACTGCACGCCGCGTTCAGCTCTGTTTTAACCCTTCGATCTACTCGACGTCTCAGTGTCTGAGGGGGCGGGGCCAGCGAGAAAAACACTACTGAGCACGTGCGGAGAGTCTCAAGACAAGGAAGCAACATGGAAACTGTCAGGGAGTAATTTATGATTGAAGTGAATGGACCGTCTTCAAGTCCAGTCTCTAACACCGTCCATCTACATCAGGGCTTTTCCTGCATAGAGAAAAAGGAAAATCCTCAGCGCCAAAATGATCAAAACAATTGGGGGGGGGAACAACCTTTCAATCCTCTCCGAATGCGTTTTAATAGCCTTTTATCAAACAGCTGTGGAGCAAGCAGAATATAACTTAAATTCAACGTCTCGCCTCCGCTCGTCCACAGCGCAGTCTTTTACACCTGATTAATAAACCAGCTGCTGCGTTGGTCCGACTGCGCCTGAACGCACCGCTACGAAGCTCGCGCTAATGACTTCCTGTTATTTCTCACAAGACAAAAGCAGTTTGTGCTTCAAGTGCGTCGGTATTCACCGCTCACTTTTACATGTTACTCCTTGGCGTCCCGGCCCCGGTTCTCTCCACATCAGGTTCTCTGGGCTCTACGTGACGCTCACCTGTTCACGTTCTCTCCTGCCTGCTAACCTCCGCAGGGAGATCAGGAGCCTTCATGCAGGCGTGTGCGTTACTGGCTCGTCAAAGTCACTTTTCATTAACCAGCCAATCACAGCCTGGAGGAGGCGGGACATTAAAAAAAGGTTGAGCACTACAGCAAACTTTAGAAATGTTTAACTCGTCGTTCTGTGTACACAGTTGCCTAAACAAATGAGAGGCTGAGCTGGAGGAGAGTTGGACAAAATGGCAGTTTTTGGGGATGTAATATTATAGGGTACAAATGCTAATCTATAGCAGCTGAACTATTATCTGAAAGTATAATGAATACACAAACATTAGCACTAATCAAACGTTAACCACAGTGCTGTAGGCCAATATAAGAAAATGGTTTTATTAGTGAAACAGCTGAATCTCTACTAATAAATTATCTGTAGGCAGAATAAAGGGAAACCTGTAAGTATATTATACTAACGTCACACGTTTATATATTTTGTTTATCACATGGTCAGAAATGCATAGATTTCAGTCATTAGGTAAGTCGTTGCCTTTACTGAACGTGTACCCATCATGCTTACTGTCGCCCCCAAAGGCCCATTCTGAGCCAGGAAAAACCCTGTACATGAGGTCAGAGTGATGTCAGCAGGTGGGGGCCTCACCTGGTCCTGCAGGAACTCGTCCACGCAGCCGTTGTTTCTGATGTTTCTCAGCAACATCTCAGCAGCTTCAATTCCAATTTTATCTGCGTACACACCTGAAGCAAACAAACAGCGGTCAGTCTGAGAGCTGCACTCTGATTGGCTGTCAGACGCTAGAGTTAGGCACACCTGACTCAGACAGATGTGGTTGTTTTATCAGAGAGTCACTTTAAGACGTGACGTCGTGTCACAGCAAAGATCTGTGATCAGTTCAGATGTCAAAGTCGTCTGGTTAAAGGTTCAGACGTGAGCAGGTTTCAGAACAGTGACGACTTCACGTGACAGGTAAACATGTTAAAAGGGTTAAAGCAGGTGTGAGTGTGTGTGCACCCCCCCCCTCCCCCCCGGTGCGTGACGTCCTCACCTTTCTTCCCCAGCGCCGAACCAGCAAACACACAACCCGTCGACGACTCAGCGATGATTCTGAAACACAGAGGGGAGACGGACCAGTCAGATTTCCCAGTTTGACAGTGAACGCAGCAGCGATGTCAGCAGGTGGGCGGGGCTCACATGATGCCGTTCCCGTTGCCGTAGGCCGCCTCCTTCTCCTGCAGCGGCTGGATGTTGATGTACAGGTCTTTGATTTCCTTCCTGATGGTTCGAACAGCAGCAGCCGACATGTCTTTAGCCAACTGAACACACCACCAACAGGATCAATACATCGCTCGTTAT